AGTCATATTTGTGATGTGTGTGAGTTTTATGTTGTATTTTCATAGCTTTTATACCTGCTAGTTAAGCATTAAGGCTTATGAATGCCCTAAGGCAGGAGCAGCAATTAGCATTCTTTTAACTATACGTATTTATACTTCTAATCTCAAATCATTATTAATTGCTAATCAAGGACTTTTACCTTCACTGGAAATTTAAAACACAACACAGTATATTTAGTTTAGTAATAAGAAATGCAAGACAGCATCCAAACATTTGTGAAACATAATTAAACTTTTGCTATTACCTTCATATTAATTACTAGCTATGGGGAAAGAAAACATTAAATCAAACACACCAGAAAATTGGCAGCTCATTTTTTCCAGTACATGTGTTTTCCAGTGTTTTAGTCGCTACCTGTGCTGTATATAATTATATGCTTCACAGAGCAGGAGGAATTACCAACCAAAGGAAGGATTTTTAGTTCACTGGGGTAACAGTTTGGCTTGCGACCACAGTTGACTACCTCATTGCTACCTGGAGCGCCTGGTGTGGCTCAGCATTGTGTTTCAGTATCGTGAAGAGTGTAGACGACTCATGGGAACCACATTCTGAAATCGAGAGGACTCCTTGCAGTGCCACAAGCCCAGTGTTCATTTGCAAGAACAGAAATGCCAAGCCAGGCCCCTTACTTCTGCCTCAGTCTCCCTGTTCACATCCCAGCACCCCAGCCAGCAGGCACTCGGACACACTCTACCAGATGCTCAAAGGCACAAGGATGGCAGCCTTGGTGCATCCCTAACAAACGGTCCATTTTTTCTCCTGGTGACTAGGATGCTTAGGCTACGAGTTGGTAGAGAAGAAAAGCACAGCCCTACTGGCTAGATAATGTTCCGCATCTGAATCTACTATCCACTCTGGCTTCATGCTGTGGGCAAGCAAGCCTAATGGTTGCATGCTCGGTACCTCGCGTTGAATTGTTTCTGAAACACTTTAACTATCCACTGTCCGTGAATTAGGGAGTTATTTGGAACACTACCCATATGACAGGGTCTCATCTCCCAAATATCCTCAAAAACGGCAGCTACTATTGGCATTATTATGAGAACACTTCTAGGCTTTCTGAATGTGTCTAGAGAGTAGGAGGTAGGGGGTAAGATGGGGAGGAAATGGGGTGACAGACTTCTTGAAAAAACCTTGGATGGATATGCCACATAAGACCTAAGAAGAGACCGCCCAACAAATATTTGATTTTGTTATATAACTTAAGATGATTAAATATGTCCACAATCATTTGTAAAATTTCCATTAAATATAACTGTATCTTTTATATAGTAATGGAGTTTGTGCCTGTTCATTTTCCCCATACTCAAATAAAATAGGAGTCACTTTAGATAGTAAAGGATAGCTAATAACAAAAGTTTCAGGGGGGGGAGTCATAAAATATAGCCATCAGCAAGTATGAAATAATATAGGGGAAGCCTGGTGTGTGTAAATATAAATTACTATAAACTTTATTTACTCAGTATTAAATTCTGTTGTTGAATCACAGTAATGGAAAAACCCTTGTGCATTTTTGGCAACTCTCACATCAGCTCTTCCAGCATTGTGTATAGCTCCAACACTTGAAATAAACCACAAAAGGGGACAAAGTTCTTTTCTCCTCTCTTCTCCCCCCCCCCCCGGTATTACCTTGATAACACCATTGAGATATTAGCCTGGTTAAAAAAAATAGGCTGTGTCTAGCATCTCCAAGGTCAGCTGTGTTTAGATCTCAGATACTGGGCTTCCTGTGAGTGGGAGACACTGGAGTCAATGGTACTGTTCTCTCATCGCATCCAAAAAAGCTACAAACAAGCTCTTCGGTAAAGATACAATTTTCCCTAATAATAACTTGTTGTGAATGTATATATTTAGTGAAATATTAATTAAAAACAAATATTTTCTTGTTACAAGGTTGAGTGATTTAGTCAACATTTTATTTCCGTTTTCCCCCACAAGAAATTATTGTACCCAAGGTCATGTACACTGTAAATTCATGCTCTATGCCTGGCTCCCATCTCAACCTTTTCAAAGTTGTCATTTCCAGGCTAGTGAGACGGCTCAGTAGATAAAGGCATTTGCTCCTAAGCCTGACTAGTTGAGTTCAGTCCCTTAGACTCACACATGGTGGAAGGAGAAAACCAGTGCCACGCACATCATACCACTCACACTGATGCAATTTTAAAAAATTTCAAGGTTGTGATTTCTAAGGAAAGAAATGATCTTCTATGGCTTTTTATTTGTCAAATTCAAAACCGAAGCAGTCTGAGTAATTCCAATCCCGTTGTTACAACACGTGGAACTTGATTGCTAGGGAAGCCTTACTAATGGATTTCCAGGACTTTTTTTTGCACCAAGTCACACTGTGCTGAATAATGAGATCTGGGACTGCATCAAGCAGCTCTCCTTGTGTGACTCTTACTTGAGACTGTGAAATGTTTTAAATTAGACTATATTAGTGTTGATCGAATGTGCACAAGAGGGAAATTCCTTTGAAGGCTTCATTCCATTTCGAGAGCTGGAGACACGGCCTGACTTAAAAATCAAGCATTGTGACCTGGCGCAAAACCACAACCCTCCTACAGTCTTGGATAGAGTGGAAATTAGGATACCTGTTTTAAAAAGCAATTTGATAATGCCCAACAAATTCACAATGCACTTATACATTAACCTGGTGATTTTGCATGCCTAGAAGAATTTAGATAAGCTCATACAGGTGCACCAAAACAGTAGTATGAGAGTATTCATGACATCATTGTTAAAATAGCAAAGGAAAGTATTTCAACAGTAAGCTCACAGTACAGGAGAATGCCCTAAATTAGTCATATGTAGTATTTAATGGAATACTATGAGCTACGGAGAAGTGTGTGTGCTTAATTCTACATAAAATGGAGACATAAGCCAGGCATGAGGCACTAGGATGTCTGTGCTGTAAAACTTAAAAAGAAATACCTATGTCTATGCGTTAGTACAGGTACACTGGTATTTATCTCAGCTGTGTCCTTTTATGGTTTAGAACAAACAAAATACTTCTGACCCCTATGCTTCTGTGGATTTCAAAAGTTGATGTCACTTTTGATGGATGCAGGTTGTTGCTTTGTAGCTTTCCATAACTTCCAGGCTTTCTTACTAAGTTTATCCAACATTTTCTCTTTTTAAACATTTCAGTATCACTGTTCTGAAGTAAGACATGTTGCTATGCTTCATGTGTGTAACTTAAATCTTTCTGAAATAGGTTTAAGACCCTTTGGGAAGTTTCCCAGGTCACGAGGTCTAACCACCTAAAGCAAATGAAGCAACCCATTGTCAGGAAATCGACCTGTTTCCTGAGTGCACTCACACCACAAACAGCGCCTACGCTACCTTTCTGTCCGCATCAGACCCCCGAGCAGTGTGGACGGAGATCAGCGTGGGCTTAGATGGCCATCTACCTTCCCTTCTGAGCAATTAGAACCAATTATTACAATTGGTCTCTTGGTCTGTGGTTAAAAATAAAGAAATGAAAATGAACGACTCCAAAAAGAAATCCTCTCTGATCATGCTTTTATTATTAATTAAATTTATTTATTTATTTTACACCCCAACCTCAGTTTCCCCTCTCCTCTCCTCACATTCCCTCTCCCAATCCACTCCTCCTCCACGTGTATTCTGAAAGGGGCAGGCCTCCCACGGATATCAACAAAACATGGCATAGCAAGTTGTGGTAGAACTAACCACCTCCCCTTGTATTAAGGTTTGGAAAGGTAATTCAGTATGAGGAATAAAATTTCCCAAAACCAGTCAAAATATTAAAGACAGCCCCTGCTCCCACTGTTAGAGTCCAGCAAGTAGACCAGGCTACATATATAGACTAGACTGGTCCCGTGCAGGCTCCCTGGTTGTTGGTTCAGTCTCTGAGCTCCTATGAGCCAGGGTAGTTGATTCTGTGGGTTTTCTTGTGGTGTCCTTGACCCCTCTGGCTCCTACAATGCTTCTTCCGTCTTTTCATCAGATTTCTCCAAGCTTGGTCAGTGTTTGGATGTGGGTGATGTCTGTATCTGCTTCCATCAATTATTGGATGGGCCCTCTCTGGTGGCAATTGGAGGAGAGTATCGCTAGGCATCATTACATTGACTTCTTTTCCCTCCACTTGTGTTTGATTGTATCCTAGGTCTATGGGCCGGTCAGTCTCGGGGCTCTGGCACTCCAGGCAGTGTCAGGGCCTGCTGGAGTTGGCTACGCCCACAATCTCTGCAACACCCTTACCCCAGACTATCCCATCAGCAGGACAGACTGTAGGTCGAAGGTGTTAGGAATATTTTCTAATATTAGCTCCCTGATGATGCGAAAATTCCCAATCAAGCCAAATCAAAACAAGCCAAATTAAGAAATATCCAGGTTTAATGGGAGACTTGCACTCTCAGGTGGCCCCGACGGGGAAATCGGGAAGCTGCGGGAACGTGACCCCCGGGAGGAAGAAAGGGAGACCACGTGTTCTTATTTTGGGGGATCACTTAAGTATCCTGACCCCTCCCTGGCCTGCTGGGATTTGAAGTTCAGACCAGGCCTGGGGGCTGGGATAGATGCGAGGGACTGGGACCTATGTTCCCAACTTAACAGAAGGTAATGTGTCTGGGCTCGTGTCCAGTCATGGAAGTCTTGCCTGGTCACAGGAGATGACCAGTTCAGGCTATGTATCTGCTATTGCTCGGAGTCTTAGCCGTGGTCACCCTTGTCGATTCCTGGGAGATTCCCTCACACCAGGTTACTGCCTAGCGACGAACTGTCCCCCTTTCCAGTCCTCCCTTTCAACCACCCCCCTCCACTCCTCTCCCAGCCTGAGCCCTCATGTTTCCATCCCCTATCAAGTGTTCTTACGCCACAGCTCCAGTCTGGCTTCAGAATGGAGGGATGTCCTTTTGACATAGCACGGTCTAATTTGGAAGCAATTCCCAGAAAGAACCACAGAGAATGACTGTGTTTTGCTTGTGACTCTTTTCAGAACTGCGGCTTCCAGTGAGTCCCTCTGTGTGCCTGGATCAGGGGACACAGTCACAGCTGAGTGCCTCCAGTCACCTCTCAAACGGAGCCAAGCCACATATATGGAAACCATGGGACTGGCAACGCGAACAGCTGTAAGATAAACACATTGAATGTGCCATCCAGCATATACTGTAGGAAACAAGAAAAAAATCTAGAAATGAGATCTGAAAGCTTGGTTGTTGGGAAGGGGCGTAGTGGGGTGGTTTGCCACTTAACGAATTGCTAGGCCCCATTCACAAGAGGTTCAGTTATTGTGTCTTGAAAGGGAATGTCATCATTGACTTTCTCCTAGACTAATTCAAATTTCTGCTGCTGTAGAATAAACATTTAGGTAAATTGGACTCGTAGCTAGTAAGTTATATTAATGTAAATTGAATTTAGAACCTTGACAATGTAAAACTATAAAAATTTAACTTCTTTTTTATACTCACATGACATTGCTCTAGTCTTTGAGCATGGCTGAATGGATTTTCCTTAGCTATTAAATTTTTATGATTCCTACTGTCTAAGAAAGGGTATCAAGTCGTCCAATGTATTTTCAGGAAAGGGTATTTTTAATACAATATCTGTACTAATTCTTTGAGAATTATGTACAGTGTATTTTGATCTTATTCTCTCTCTTCTCTTCCTCCTAACTTCCTTCAGCTCCACCAGGCACCGCCCCAAATTTGTGCCTTTTCTTTTTTAATAACCAAGTCCAATTTTACTCCCTACATAGTTATGGGTAGGGAGCTGGGTGATTCACTGGCACTTGATCAACCTGTCAGGGCCACACTCTTAAAGGAGTCTGACTCCCCATAAGCCATCAACTCTCAACAGCTCCTCAGTTAGGGGCGGGGCTTGACAGACCCTTCCTGCTTTATGTTCAACTGTTGAGTGGCTTGATCCTCCGTAGATCTAGTGTAAGCGAACACAGCTGCCGTGAGTTCATTAATGAAGCCGTTTCAGTCAGGTCCTCCCTGACCTCTGGCTCTTAGAGTCCTTTCCCCCTCTCCCATGGGGGTGCAGGGGCCTGGGCTCCATTGATGGTCTGTTTGTAGCTGAACTCTCCATTGACCCTCAGTTTCTGCACTTTGATAGGCTGTGGGTTTCTGCGTTAACCACTGTCTATTGTACCAAGAAACACCTCCCATGAGGTCTGAGAGCTACAATATCGACAGGAATAGGATTTTAGAGAGCAGTTTGATAAAATGTTCATTTAACAAACCTAGTAGGCTTAACCCCGGAGCCTGTGAGTGCCTCAGGCATTCTTAGCCAGATTCACAATCCTGAACATCCTTTTCCTCCTGTGGAACATGCCATATGTTCAAGCAACATAGCCCATAACATTTATACCACTATTGCCCCCAGGGGCATATTTTGCCCCCCCCCAGGTCATTATCATAATTCTCAGGGTTCATGACTGGTAGGGCTGTTGATGGCTTCCTCCTGCCTCAGGAATCTGCACGTAGTCCTTTCCCCTACTGCAAACGCTGGCCAGCAGCGAGGCAGCTTTCTGGTCAGTACTGGCTTCATTTCTCCATGTCCTGTGACCAAAGTGTGAAGTGTCTTCAGCAATGGGATCTTACTTACCATCAGGGCAACCAAGAGCAATAGCAATCGCCAGTATCCTTCAGGGGATCTCTGAGACACTCCTGACCAGGGAAGTGTCCCACACTTTGCACTGGGCTTTTATTTTGCTGTCTGTAGCTGCTGGAAAGAAAACATCATGCCTCACTTAGGGTGATTCTCATGAAACTCGCATTTTCTTATGCAAAAAAAGTACATAAATATGACGTTTATACACAGTAGGTTTCCATATGGCTTTTCCAAACATCCCTAGGGTTAGTTAGCCCTCTCCTGGCCTCCTCCTCTGCCCCCCCGTTACTCCCCCATTGAAACTTTCCTACACACACCTCCCCTTTCTCCTTCATATCACCTGTACACCTGTATTCTGCTGCCTTTCCCCCTCCCCACATGGTCCTTTCCTCCTGGACTCCAGGGATTCCAGGGAAAGGATCTTAGAATGTATATCAACCACAAAGAAAAATATATTCTAGTCAGGTCATTCAAGACATGGATGAATTTGCCTCATCTAACCGTACGATTGCTAACTAGATAATGTTTCTGCATTTAACAGTACTTAACGAGAATTCATATCTAGCCTCCGCATGAATTTTAACTTCCTCGGTTGTCGTAAGCACAATTTACATATTGCCTGTTAGACTTAAATACCTGACATATAGATATGATACAGGAAAGCAAATGATGATATATTTTGGTACAATTTAGGATGGCAGTATATTTGTTTCATCACAAAACAAGAAACTAATATTATTTGCTGTTTTCTTCACACTCGGCCTTTAATAATCAGGAATGATGGGGTGTTTGTTTCGTAGATGTGGGATAATTGGGGAAGTATTCTAGCATATTCTTGACGGCCAATCTGCTGTTAAACAAGTCACTCTCTTTGCACAAACAGGAGAGAGATCACCAAAGTAAGAAACGGCCTGGGGTGGTGGAGGTAGCTTCTCACCCAAATTCATGTATTCACTTCTGCTGTTACATTCCCACGAATCTGACATGGTCACAGGCAGTGCCACCAATTTAATTTTCAGAAATCTTTAAACCTTATCGTAAGTATTGTTTTCCTTTGGGAGAATTCTACCCATTTGGTAGCGTGTCTCCGAGCCCGAGCACCCCCTGGTGGCGAAAGAGTAACCCACAGCTGCAACTGTTTCGGGAAATCCGCAGTAGAAGCCTGGGCTCCAAGGGGAGGAATTACAGAGCTTTAGGTCACACACACACACAGTACATACTCAATTCTAAATGCAGTGCTATGTTGTTTTATTTTTTTTCCTAGGAATCACACCGCAGTCCTTGCTCCACGTGAAGCAATCTTCAGAGCAGAAGAGCTATCTGTGATTCTTAAAGCCTATGTGTTGGTGACCTCCTTAAGGCCCTTGCGTGCGTTCATTCATTCGACGGGCACAGTGTGGAGCCCACCAAAGAAGAAACGCTTCACTGTCAAGGTAAAATCCGACTGAAGCTGTTATTTCACACAGTACGCGGAAGAGAAGTAAAATGGGTAGGGCTGCCATTCTCTGACCTTTGTGGCTGTCAAATCCCCTTGAACAAAGATTGCATCTCTTTTATTGCTGCAAACAGAGATTTCCGTTTAATACATGGAAGATCAAAAGTAAGCTGGAAATAGCTTAATTTACTATGGATCATGAAGGCCACGTCCTGTTTTTTCTTTCTTCAACAGTTTTTGACCTGTTAACCAGCTAGTTTTGTCTGTTTTCTGTTTTTCTGACTTTCCATTTATTTAAGAAAAAAAAATACCAGTCAGTGTAACAAATGGAAATATAATTTTGTGTTTCCACATTCTGCTTCCTCGATGAGTATTTTGTACGTCAGTCAATACTGACTCGAATCTGCTGGGTGGGAAGAAAAGCCCTCAAGTGTGCAGAGTATTGCGAGCGTTGGTATCAAAGATAATGAGGGAGTTTGCAGGAAGACCTCACCATGCCTCAAAAGTGATGTTCTAAGAGGTAGCCCAGGCATGCGGAAGAGCCCAGCCTGGTGGTTAGAGCTGGCGGGCTGACCAACCCTGGGACACCCAGACCCAGACCCAGAATCAGGGTTATGAGTTGGCCCAGCCCAACACCACCCCGTCGTGATCTGCCAGAGCTCCGGTAGGGGTGAGGGGGTCAGTCCTGAGGACCCAGGGCCACAGGAGCTGCACGACACAGGGTAGCAGCAGGATATCAGGATATCGAGGAAGAGTCCCAGTGAGGGCCCAGGGTCAATGGTGTGGCAGAAACCAGGGGCCTCCATCCAGACCAGTGATTCTTTACGATGAACGTTTGCATTGTGAAAATGCACAGGTAAAGGGTTTTACCACGTGACTCACTGTAGTGTCACACTGTAGCTCCCTGACGAAATGTTCCACTTCATCCTCCCTGCCCTTCTTTCTCGTAATTTTTATTTTGTTTTATTTTGGTGGGAGAGGGAGATGTAAAAGAATAAATACAAAGAAAGTTTTAAAAAAAAAAGAGGTAGCTCAGGTTCACTTGGTTCAAAATAAGTTTTCTGAGAAGACATTGGATAGAGTTTAAGGAAACTTTGATTTCCCAGGAAATCATTGCTCGGAGTGCTGTCAGGAGAAATTGGGAAGAAACCAGACGAATGCTCAATGCAATGAGGTCCAAAAGAGTTCAGTTGCGCTCTGAACTCTGGGAAGTGTGATGAATACACATTAATTGTTCACTTATATATGGCACTGAAAACCTCACTGACCTGGGAACAGATGTAGGTATTCTGTAGCCCCGGCGGTAGTTCATATTCTAAGGATGCAGAACTGATGGCCCAAGTCCTTAAACTTGCTTCTTTTCACGTTAAAATAGTCATCCGAACTCAAGTCTATAAATGTCCGTGGTTTTCTGCGAATCTTGAAAGGAAGCGTCAAGTTGGCTTATTCCAGCCTGCCTCCTGCAAGTCTTTCCAGCAGCTGCTCATGCCGTCGCTGTCCCCGTTATTCCCATTCCCTTCCATTGATTTAAATTAAATGCACCTGCCAATTTCTACTCATTTTGACCTAAACAAAATTTTGCAACTTCATGTGGTTTAACCAACTAGTGGAAGATGGACCTAGACAGATGAGAATCATAGTCTTCAGTTATGTTACATGTTATAAACCACGTAGCAAGTTACTATTCCCAATTCCAACACATATTTACGCACAGACCAGGAAGGTCTACTGACTTTCTGTTAGTGTTGTTCTGTCTGGAGTCAAAGGCCTGGGAGCCAAGAGTTCACATTTCAGAGGGCAGAAGATGAGCGTCGTAACTTGTTGAGCACACACCAGTGGCCTTGGAAAATTTTCCCCTTCTATTTTCTTGCTTAGTATAGTTTCCTTTTATTTCACTAAAACCACAGTTTCCCATTTTTCATCGAAAGGCTCAAACATTCTGTAACTTTGAAAGTTATCGTTCTTAATATATGTAATGTACGGTGGTTGCCACTAGTTTAATGGATGCGGTCGTGTTTATTTTCTCATCCTGATGTTTGCCTACCTATTTGTTTTAAGACTGAATCTCTGTCTAGCTTGTGATCCTCCTGCATCAACATCTAGAAAGTGAGGACTGCAGATGCCTCCACCCTGCCAAGCTATTGTCCAATGATTCCTGAAATGTTTTTCTCACTGACTTCTTTTCCTTCCTTTTTCTACTGGCTAAATTTTGATCTTTCTGTTTCTGCCTTTTTTGATGTGTGTGTGTGTGTGTGTGTGTTTATGCACATGGGTGCTACCCAGAGGCATGAGTGTGTGATCATGCTCATGCCAGCCCATTCGATGGAGCTCAGAGGACAACTTTCAGGAGTTGGTTCTCCCCTTCTACCTTTACATGTGCTCAAGGGATAGAACTCAGTTGCCAATTCTGTGAAGTGCTTTTATCTGCTGAGCCATTTCCTTTGTCCTGTAATTTAATGATGATGATCATGATGATGATGGTGGTGGTGGTGATGATGATATGATGGTTGTGATGATGAAAGTGTGCGTGTCTATGGGTGACTGGACCCACAGGCCATGACGTACTTGTAAAGGTCAAAGAAAACTTTCATGAGTCAGCAGTTTCCTTCCACAGTGGGTCTCAGGGGTCAAACACAGGCTACCAGGCTTAGTGGCCAGTGCCCTTGCCTGCTGAGCTATTGACAGCCGTCTGTTCTTACTGTATACAATTTCTCAGATCTTCTGTCTCTTCATATGCTTTCCGGAAGCATTTGTTTCCAGGACAGATTAGTCTTATCTTCTGAATGTATATGTATGGCACATGCTGGAGCCCCTGAGTTTTACCTCCATTTATTTCTTACTACATTCCCTCTTATTACAGTTGGGGATTTCTCTTCTAAATTTCATTTTGTTTCCATCTTTGATGATTTCCTGGAGTATGTTAGTCATAGTTATATCCAATTACAGTTTTACTGGATGGTCCTCATTATTCACCTTGCTGTGCTTTGTTGAGGGAGTTGTGCTTCTCACATGCGTGATGACCATGGACTCACCCTCTGAAACTGTAAGCGAGCCCCAAATTAAATGCCTTTCTTTATAAACTGCCTTGATCAAGGTGTCTCTTCACAACAGTAGAGCAGTAACCAAGGCAGTGAAGGTTGAGGTTTGAGAGTAAATGAGTTAGAGGGTCACACATGGCTGGAAATCCCACACATCACAACTACTCAATTGAGCAGGACATCATCTTTCAGTCCTGGGCCTGCGCTCAGCATCCTTCAGAAGGGAGGAACAACAGCATGAGGGAAAAGACACAGAGAAGAGGCAGGAGGAAACTCTGAGTTCTTCCCTTTAAGATGTAAAGTTTAAACGATCCTCTCATGTGGCCTCCAGCAACTCCCTCATGCACAGGCAAGTCCCTCTGGCGTGTTCACTCTTCCCTGTCCATGGCCATGACAGCCCCCACCAATTCAAAATTGCTTTCAGAATGCCTTCTGCACAGGCTTTTGAATTTTATTCTTCTGTTGCTAAACCCACACCTCTGCCTTGTTTTATCTACCCTAGTTTACTATCTTGAAAGGAAAACCAAGATCTTAAGTATTCTGGTAATGTTAAAGGCATCTCCCCCCCCCCCCCTTTTTGTGGCTAATGGAAGAGCCACTCCACCTACTGCAGTGAAAATGGCCCCAGAGATAATGAGTTTTCTGTAATAGTCTTATTTATGCTTTCCCTGGAGCTGAGCCCATAGCAGTCGGCTTCCCCTACATTTCCAGGCTTTGCTCATTACTTTTCCAATCTTCGTCATGCCCTTGAGATGGATGTGAGCCACGGTTCTACCACAGGAGAGCATGCAGCTCCTGTCAGTTTCAATCTCTTCCTGGGATTTATCTTTTTAAGACCTCGCCTGATTACTCCTAAGATACCTTTATCTGCTGCTAAGGTGAGGTAGAAGGGCTTCCTGAGCTAACATGTAGAGGAGATTGTTCCTTTAGTAGGTCAACATTATGTTTGATGATGCAGAGTTCAGAAAACAAGGGCGGTGTTTATGTGCCCTTCAACTGAAGTGCTTTAAGTTTTACAACAAAAGATCTTATTCATGTGGCTAATCAGTTTGCCGTTCTGTAAAATAGTATGTTCTTCTGGTATTTTCATATGTATAAATATACACAGAAACCTTTTCATGCCATTGTGGAGGACAAAACATAAACAGACTCATTTAAGACTAACTATGTTATATCAGCATGCTGCTAAACTCTGCCCTTAAATTCCACAAGATTTGTGTGTTTGTGCACATGTGTGCATGTGTGTGTGTGTCTGCACGTGTATGTGTGCATGAGTGCATGTGTGTGTGCATGTGTATGCACATGCGTGCATGTGTCTGTATGCACACATGTTCATACTCATGCACTGGGTCCTATATTAGGAGGCTGAATTAGTTAATTCAGCTGTGGTTTATTCACTGTTTAGTGAGGTGAATCCACTAAACTTGTTATCAGTGGCCATGTATAGAACATGCTGGCAGCTAAAGGAAGTACAAAAAGCAATAAGGGCTAGGAGTATGAGCTCATTTATTTCCAATTAGGCCTGTTGCTGAGATGCTTTATCTGTGAAAACTCTGGGAGCAGATGGAAAATACCAAGACATGCAAACTTGAGAAATATAATAAAGCTTATAGCCCGAGCTTTAAAAAGTCACTTTAGGGTGAAAATATTTTAAAATTTAAGAGAAATGTTAACTCTTCCTGGGGATGCTCCCTCTCAAAAGAGGTATGTAGAAAAATGTGGAGACTAATGGCAAATACAGCACTTGATCACTGCGTCCATTCATGCAAATTTAAATAACCTGACATGTTATTGTTAAGACATTATTATTGTCTTGAATACAATAAGTTCAACATTATGCCACAGTTTATTCAGAAAAGATCTTACCCCCCTCCCTTCACAACTTCCAACCCTTTCTCTGACTTTCTAACTGGAATTTTTAGTTAGGTGAGTCCACGGCTGTCTTCACACACAAATCACA